CTATCATCACAAGATGCCCAGCGCTTCAAGCCAAGCCTCCTCCTCCACCCTCTTTCGCTCTCTCCTCACCCGCATATTTTCAGTTGCATCTCGTGCCCACACTTGTCTTTCCATCACGCATGTAAAACTCACTGAGCTATAGCTTGCCCGCTCCATAGCATAGCATAGTAATTTAATGTCAAGCGAAATAAAAAATAATCAGTTTAAAAAGGAACAGAAAGGACCGGTACTTTTTGGGGGGATTGAACTGGTTCAGAACTTTATTTTGGTTCCAACCCCTGAATGGTAGTACAGGTGCAATGCACCATGAGACCCAAACCGTTGCTGGCAGCAGCGCAGCTGTATTGTGAATTCACGTGGAATTTCATGACATTTAAAAAAATTGTGGTTTAAACATTAAGATATTTTTGCCATTTGTCACATCCCTACTCTAGATGGCAGTAGAAGAAGAAAATTGACTACTTCAAAATTGAGATGGCCTCAATGGAGCTCAATGACGAGTTTCCCACTAGTAATTATCAGTTGGAGGGCCATTCAAATAGATAGATCCAGTCGTATGTGGTAAACATAGATAATGATAGAGATATCATCTTTATATATGTCCCATTATGGCATATGTGAGCGCACGGGCAGCGCCATTGAGGCCCTCTCCATTTTGTAGTAGTCCATTTTCTTTTTCTATTACAACAAACTGAAAGAGTGCATACTGCCATCTAAAATGTGTTATTTGAACAGGTATAAAGCCACAGTTGGTGATTTACTGCCACCTACAGTTTGCTCAGGAGTACAAATCATTGGCTGATCCCTCCTGATGTCCTGGATGGAATCATGTGATCCTTCCTTTACCAATAGGAAGGCCCACCCAGTTGACTACTTTAAATGGTGGTTCTATATCTAACTCTATGGTGGTAAATTCCCACTTCCCACTTGATTGCGAATGCAGCATAAACTCCACAGTATTCCTATGTCACCATCTGGCAGGTCCAGTCAGCCAATCAGGCATTGTGTTGTTCATACACTTAGCTCAATTATTGAGAGGTCAGATGTCAAGTCTCTGGTTGCTGCTAGCAGTAATTTAAGTAAATGACAAGCTTGGCATTCAAAATGGCCCAGATTGCTGGCAATTCACTGTTGGGCCATATGACAAGAGCTTCTTGTAAATAAGACCCAGCTAACAGAAAATCTGCCTTAGGATAATTTGGATAATAAAATGCTCCTGGTCCCAAAAATGTATGCAAAATGTGTTTTTTAATCTTTATTTATCCAGGTTAGTCTCATTGGGATAAAATGTATTTTTCAATAGTGAACTGATCCAAGATAGTGTAGTGGATGGCTAAGTGCTAATGTAAAAACATAGATAACGTGCATTCAGATCGTTATATCCTGATCTGAAAAAGGTTATTATTTTAGCTCGGAACAGGTATTTTTCTTGGTATGGTAAGGTAAAACTCTTGGCCCTAATCACAAACGTAACCTATGTATCCTATGTCCCCATCTTTGTTAACCCAACAGTCACTGTGTCACTTGTGGGGCTGGCCTAGACTGGATTGGTGCTGCTGTGCCTCAGTGCGTGTGTGTTTGTGTGTGTCAAACAGGGGTCTCTTGCCATTTCGGTTACAGTGACACTACTCCCATCTCTCTCTCTCACTCTGGGTGTCACTCCAGGGACGTGGCAAAAATGTTCAAGTGTTCACAGGACCCCACCGCAGCACCAGTCCCAGAAGCATGTGGTACACCTGGCAAAGATGGCAGGGTCATATTCATTAGGCACGAAATTGAATCAAATGGTCCTGAACAGTGAGGTACTATCTGAAACACTTGTTTATGCTTTCCGTTGTACACCAGTTTTAAACATTTTGCTATGATGTGACCAAATGAATACCGCCCAGGTCATTCTCCCTGAATCCAGCTAGCTCAAATAAATGACTCACACTACGACACGTTCTCAACCCGCACAGGGTATCTTGGATTTCGAGCTTGAACATGCATCCAATTAATAATATAATCAGTCGTCATGTTTTAATAATGATGTCTATAAATGTACACTATACACACTATATATACAAAAGTATGTGGAAATCCCTTCAAATTAGTGGATTTGGCTATTTTAGCCACACCCACTGCTGACAGGTGTATAAAATTGAGCACACAGCCATGCAATCTCCATAGACAAACACTGGCAGTAGAATGGCCTTACTGAAGAGCTCAGTGACTTTCAACATGGCACCGTCATAGGATGCCACCTTTCCAACAAGTCAGTTGGTCAAATTTCTGCCCTGCTAGAGCTGCCCCAGTCAACTGTAAGTGCTGTTATTGTGAAGTGGAAACGTATAGGAGCAACAATGGCTCAGCCACGAAGTGGTAGGCAACACAAGCTCACAGAACGGGACCGCCGAGTGCCGAATCTGGTAAATATCGTCTGTCTTCGATTGCAACACTCACTACCGATTCCAAACTGCCTCTGTAAGCAACGTCAGAACAAGAACTGTTCGTCGGGAGCTTCATGAAATGGGTTTCCATGGCCGAGCAGCCGCACACAAGCCTAAGATCACCATGCGCAATGCCAAGCGTCGGCTGGAGTGGTGTAAAGCTTGCCGCCATTGGACTCTGGAGCAATGGAAACATGTTCTCTGGAGTGATGAATCACACTTCACCATCTGGCAATCTGATGGACGAATCTGGGTTTGGCGGATGCCAGGAGAACGCTACCGGCCCGAATGCATAGTGCCAACTGTAAAGTTTGGTGGAGGAGGAATAATGTTCTGGGGCTGTTTTTCATGGTTCGGTCTAGGCCACTTAGTTCCAGTGAAGGGAAATCTTAACGTTACAGCAAACAATGACATTCTAGACGATTCTGTGCTTCCAACTTTGTGGTAACAGTTTGGGGAAGGCCCTTTTCTGTTTCAGCATGACAATGGCCCTGTGCAGAAAGCGAGGTAAATACAGAAATGGTTTGTCGAGATCGGTGTGGAAGAACATGACTGCCCTGCACAGAGCCCTGACCTCAACCCCATCGAACACCTTTGGAATTAATTGGAACGCCGACTGCGAGCCAGGCCTAATCGCCCAACATCATTGCCCGACCTCACTAATGCTCTTGTGGCTGAATGGCAACAAGTCCCTGCAGCAATGTTCCAACATCTAGTGGAAAGCCTTCCCAGAAGAAAGGAGGCTGTTATAGCAGCAAAGGGGGGACCACCTCCATATTAATGCCCATGATTTTGGAATGAGATGTTCGACGAGCATGTGTCCACATACTTTTGGTGTTGTAGTGTAGTTCTGGACCACTTGAAGTAGCTTCGAGGTTTGGACTTCTGTACGCAAAACTAGAATCAGAAATGATTAGAAAAAGAGGAGGGCTTAATGTGCACATAGAAACAGACATGTCAGTCCATTTTAACCCAAAGTAATACTCCTACTCTCACAAATGATACCCACTCATTCCTACTTTTACTTTTATAGGTTTCGTTTCAGTGCTGCCCAACTCAGGCTGTTCGTTTTCAGAATCCTGAGAATGATGATAAAGTTTGTCTTAGGATAAACAGAACTTCAGCCACTGAGTAATGCACCCTTAGATTGTACATCAGCAAGGGGCTCAAGTTTGATCAAATTGTGCCCCCTTGTGGCTTATTGACAGAACAACTTATACCACTTGATCAGCTACATGATTCATACACTGTACCTGAATGCTCACAGGTTGGTCGGTCTCTCTCCCTCTCTCAATATTAGGAAGGTGTTCCTAATGTTTGGTATACTCAGTGTATATTTGTTTCTACTGCCCTTTTGAATATAACGTAATTTATTTGAAATGTGGTAATTGTAATAGTGTAGCTTAAATTTGTGGCTCACATTGCTTGAACTGTTGTTCTCAGGGCACTATTGCAAATGAGACCCTGTTCTCAATGAGTTTCCCTGGTTAAATAAAGGTTAATAAAGAAATTCTAATAATACCATCCTTGACAGAACAACTTACACTTGACAAGCTACATGATTCATACACAGTACCATCCATTATACAGCCAGTGTTTCACTGACATTATTTCTGAACTCCAAATCCACCCTTAGCCACTATCTGCTGTAGATCTTAGGTTTTAGATGTGGTATTTGCTTTGCCGTGCTTTCCGACAGGCAGGGTGGAATTTTTGCCATATTACTTAATGTGCCTGTATTCAGCAGTACTGATCTAGGATAAGTTTTGCCTTCGAGATACATTGAATTATGATTATATGGACAGGGGGAACCTGATCCTAGATTACCACTCCCACTCTAAGATGCTTTTGAGGGGATACTTGGAATGACATAACCCAAAGCCTTAATACAGAAACATGGCAAACGCCTACGGTGCTATTTGTTGTCCTCAGTGTGGATCAAGAAGAAGAAGCCAATATAGACTATTGAGATGTATGCTTCAAGTGGAACTTTTTTCCACTTTGAGCAGCCTACAATTATCTTCATTTGATGGTCATACAATGGGGGACTCCACCCCTTGGAACTCTGCACCAATAAGGGCGCCTCTAACCAGAATGACGCCGCCCACAAATCTGCATGGAATTGCACCCACTTCAACTAATTCAGCTAATGTGCTTGTGACTCTTTGAAGAAAATGCTGAAATAAAACTGGATACAAATTAGATCCACAATGGCCAACATGTCGACTTAACATTGAAGAGATTCACTGCTAATTTTAAAGGAGATTTTATTCTTCCCATGGATGTTTTGATCTTCCAGTACAATAATGGGACTATAAAAAATGGACAATGACAACACACTCTGTCCACACACATACGTACACAAACGCACACAGTCACACACTAACCACAACATATATCAGAGTTACTTTTTAAATGTTCTCTATTGCGGTTCTTTCCACAACTCAAAATATTAACTGCATCATTAAAATCACCTGAACCTCCACTCAAACTGCCGGGGTTATTAATCCATTGCAATTTAGTTCTAGAGAAGTTTCTTGTCCCAGTCCATCCTACCATCCCAGCCCTCCGTCACATATGAAGGATGGATACAGATCCAGGCAGCAGGTCCGGTTTGTCTCCTCCCGTCCCCCCGTGGGCCTTCTCCTCCCTGGGGCTCTCTAGTCCCTGGAGGCCCCCGATCATGGAGCCCAGGGTGCCAAAGCTTCCCAGGCAGTGCTCCACCTGGGCCGACACGGACACACACAGGGCCCCATGCTGGATCTCGGAGCCCTGGGGCACGGGAGTGGAGGTGTTCTCACTGAGACTCTGCACTGTCACACAGGACTGAGAGGTGGGGAGTGGAGGAGGAGGGAGGGGTAGGAGAGAGGGTAGGGAGGGAGGAGGACGAGAGGAGATGGGGAGGGAGGGAGAGAGAGTGGGAGAGGAGATGGAGGCAGAGGGAGAATGACAGGGTTGGAGAGAAAGAAAAATGGGAGGGAAAAGGTGAGAGATAGTTGGGCATTCAGATTTTTGGTCCATAATCTACAGGTGTAATATTGTAAGGACATTTTCCTAGTTATGATCTCCCCCAAGATGGTTAACCCTGTTGGAGCAGGGGGGTCATTTTGCTATTTGATTTTGAATTTTAGGACCCCTTTCGATATAAAAAAATATATAAAATATGTTTTCATAAAATATTGAATTTGACCTTTACAACGCATTGAATAACACATTCATAAATGGCAAAAAAAGCATAAGGAACAAGGTTTTGAAGTGTCTGTCCTATATCTAGGAGATATAAGAAAGCTCAGGAAATATATATATATATATATATTTACACATATTTAACCCCTTTTTTTTGGGTAGGCACAAAACTACCTCCATACGTCCATTCATTTTTTCAACCGGTACTGGTTACCTTAAGATGAAAGAAGCGGAGACCACCATGGTGTTCATGAGAGTGTCATCTTTCCAAAGAAAAGAGTGGTCATATTAGTTTGTAGGCCAAAACAACGTTTCAGTGAGAAGGCCGATTTTCAGGATGTCTCATGGTCTGACAAACACTGCTGTAGCTCGGCCACCTTCCACCGCTGATGCGGAACGCCCGACATAGGCTGATGTGGTGGATTGAGATGCAGCCCATGCCCACATAGCCCAGATATCTCTAGCTTAAACTGACAGATTTTGATGGGGATTGATGATAGATTCTAGGGAGTTTTAACTTGTATTTTATTGTATTCCTTCGTAAATACACTCACATTCGCCATAGAAATGTCGCTCCCCACCAGTGTATACTTCTTGCGGGCTAGATTGGGGTTCCAGTGACACACCAGGCTGTCATTCTGAACACTGTAGTTCTTGTGTCCGATCAGCCAATATGTGTTCATTTTCCCTTTACCCTGAGAGGGGAAATTCTGTTTTATTTTATAATAGCTCAAAGACAAATCACACTAAGGATTAGAAAACAGAAATCTCTCACACACTAATTAGAAGTCATCTGATGACTTTTGACTTGTAAGTTAATTAGCTAGAGAGTTTGGATGGGTCCCAAATAATTATACACTTCACTGGCACTCTGGGAAAATCGACAGGGTCTATTGACAGTTCATTACACAGTACTTCTCCCCTCTATGTCAGTGTGAGGACAGTTGACCTACTAAGTATTGTAATGATGTTATAATGTTCACTAGATCAAATAAATAAGGTGATGGTCATGCTGTCGAACTGTAACTTAGTCATTCAACAGTCATAATGTGAGCTTCTGCACTCCACTTCGCTGGAGACAGTATATAGAGGATATGAATAGCCAATGATTTGCTTAGAGTAATAATGGTATTTTAGTGGCTGAAACTAGACATTTCTTCAAATAGCAATATATATTTAAAAATAATAGAATAATTTTGTTTTCCCAAGGAAACTTGATAATTCTGGGGTGTGCTGTATTCCCAAACAGTCTCACCTTCACCTCAGTCTCTCCTCTCAGCTGGAGCTCGTAGGCACCGTCCTTCATCAGGGCCAGGTAGGTGGCTGAGCTGGCATGGATCGTCTGAGCTGACACACACACACACACACGAAAAATAAAAAGAGAGCCGCACACTCTAGGAGCTCAGAGAGCCGCACACTCTAGGAGCTCAGATGCAATAATGTAATAACCTAATAACCAACGTTTCGACAGACAAGCTGTCTTCATCAGGGTATAATGACAAACACTGCGGGACACTAGTTTATATAGTTTCAAAGGACACACACACAGGTGTCTGTAATCATGGCTGGGTGTTGCTTGATATCATTGGTTAATTTACAGATATAAATAGAACATATAAAACACATGAATGGATAGCATATGATCATAGATACAATTTGGCTACATAGGCCTACAAACAAACAAACACACACACACACACACACACACACAGCATTGAGAACAGGTGCCTGCATACTGTATGTGTGTGTGTGCGTACACCCACGCAGGCTGGTGGACTCCATTCTGGAGGCTGTGTTGACAGTATCTCCAAACAGGCAGTATCTGGGCATCTTGTAGCCGACAATACCTGCCACACATGGACCTGGAGCAAAGAGAAAAAATGAAGAGAAAGACAAGCCTGCTACACCATATTTTACTCACTGATATTTACATTGGTAATAACTCCATACAATAATCCCAGTTTATAAGGAGGCAATCAGGTTATAGACTTATATCAAACCTACCACAGCAATACATATGCAATATATATTACCACACATGAAGTTCCCTCTTAGGAAATAAAAGTTATTTGAATTGAATTCAATATTGCTTGCATACACATACTGTACGTCTCAAAACATCTGCCTGTTAGGTGAGATTATCAGGTACTTTTTCAGCACCTAAAACCATTTTGTGATATGATTTGAACATGGGTATGTGTGTCTGTGTGTTTTGTCACCTGTGTGTATGCCTGCGAGGAGCTGCAGTCTCTTGTTGGGCATGTGGGGTATGGCCACCTGTCTGACGGCCGCCACCAGGTCCAGCGACATCTTGGCTATCTCGTCAGCATGCTTGTCCCCATTCCTCTCAGGCAGCCCACTCACCACCATGTAGGCATCGGCTATCGTCTCAACCTGGGGGACCAAATACAACGGGTCCACTCATGATAAGTGCATGTTGGATAGATCAAAAGCATCCCAATACTCAAACGTACACACAATTTTGTATAAAGTGATGTATTAGCCATGCATACTAAATAGTCTGATAAGATGACTCTCTTTATATGTTTGACAACAGGTGGTAATCAGATAATGGGACAGGCTGTACCAAAATGAACGAATGGGAGGGAAAAACTCAATTGTGCATTAGATGACTCCTTCTCAGTATGGATGAGCATAGCATGTTGCTATTTGTTCAGTTTTAACTAAACAGTATGTTCTAAATAGTACGTCGTATGGTTAGTACTCAATGTAGGGTGATTCCACACTAGCATGGTGCAAAATTATTTTTGGTATCACAGATTGTTCTGGCAATTCTCACATAAAAACTTCATTGGGAGGAAGGATGTTTAACATAACTTTTACATTTGTATCACAAACTATTTTTGAGAAAAACATAATGAAAGTGTCAATTTAAGCCCTTTTTAGACCAATACAGTGGGGGAAAAAATGTATTTAGTCAGCCACCAATTGTGCAAGTTCTCCCACTTGAAAAGATGAGATAGGCCTGTAATTTTCATCATAGGTACACGTCAACTATGATAGACAAATTGAGGAAAAAAAATCCAGAAAATCACATTGTAGGATTTTTAATGAATTTATTTGCAAATTATGGTGGAAAATAAGTATTTGGTCACCTACAAACAAGCAAGATTTCTGGCTCTCACAGACCTGTAACTTCTTCTTTAAGAGGCTCCTCTGTCCTCCACTCGTTACCTGTATTAATGGCACCTGTTTGAACTTGTTATCAGTATAAAAGACACCTGTCCACAACCTCAAACAGTCACACTCCAAACTCCACTATGGCCAAGACCAAAGAGCTGTCAAAGGACACCAGAAACAAAATTGTAGACCTGCACCAGGCTGGGGAGACTGAATCTGCAATAGGTAAGCAGCTTGGTTTGAAGAAATCAACTGTGGGAGCAATTATTAGGAAATGGAAGACATACAAGACCACTGATAATCTCCCTCGATCTGGGGCTCCACGCAAGATCTCACCCCGTGGGGTCAAAATGATCACAAGAACGGTGAGCAAAAATCCCAGAACCACACGGGGGGTCCTAGTGAATGACCTGCAGAGAGCTGGGACCAAAGTAACAAAGCCTACCATCAGTAACACACTACGCCGCCAGGGACTCAAATCCTACAGTGCCAGACGTGTCCCCCTGCTTAAGCCAGTACATGTCCAGGCCCGTCTGAAGTTTGCTAGAGTGCATTTGGATGATCCAGAAGAGGATTGGGAGAATGTCATATGGTCAGATGAAACCAAAATAGAACTTTTTGGTAAAAACTCAACTCGTCGTGTTTGGAGGACAAAGAATGCTGAGTTGCATCCAAAGAACACCATACCTACTGTGAAGCATGGGGGTGGAAACATCATGCTTTGGGGATGTTTTTCTGCAAAGGGACCAGGACGACTGATCCGTGTAAAGGAAAGAATGAATGGGGCCATGTATCGTGAGATTTTGAGTTAAAACCTCCTTCCATCAGCAAGGGCATTGAAGATGAAACGTGGCTGGGTCTTTCAGCATGACAATGATCCCAAACACACCGCCCAGGCAACAAAGGAGTGGCTTCGTAAGAAGCATTTCAAGGTCCTGGAGTGGCCTAGCCAGTCTCCAGATCTCAACCCCATAGAAAATCTTTGGAGGGAGTTGAAAGTCTGTGTTGCCCAGCGACAGCCCCAAAACATCACTGCTCTAGAGGAGATCTGCATGGAGGAATGGGCCAAAATACCAGCAACAGTGTGTGAAAACCTTGTGAAGACTTACAGAAAACGTTTGACCTGTGTCATTGCCAACAAAGGGTATATAATAAAGTATTGAGAAACTTTTGTTATTGACCAAATACTTATTTTCCACCATAATTTGCAAATAAATTCATAAAAAATCCTACAATGTGATTTTCCTGATTTTTTTTCCTCATTTTGTCTGTCATAGTTGACGTGTACCTATGATGAAAATTGCAGGCCTCTCTCATATTTTTAAGTGGGAGAACTTGCACAATTGGTGGCTGACTAAATACTTTTTTCCCCCACTGTATATGATCCGTGAACCGCATATGGCACACACATCTTGGTGTCATTATACTCCTTATAGTGTGCTCTAAAATATGGAGTATGTCTATATTCTGAGAAAAAATTTACATTAACTTATTCAACATTACAAATATTATTATTAACTACTTTTTTTGATTGTGCTTATTTTTAGACATCGTTTTAAACAATATACTCTTCAAACACATCACATTTCCAGAATGGGCTCTCTGCTACTTTTGAAGGAATTTTTTTATTTTATACATAGAAATTGACATAGGTAATTAACCAATGAGAGTCCTCCTGTAGGATTGCACATTCAGCAAATCACCAGCAGAGGGAGTTCCCTTTGAATCCATTTTCCCATTCAATGTCGATGGTGTTCATACATGGCACATTACAGGATTTGCCCCAGTGTTTTACCCAAAAGGCTCAGACTTTTCTGTTTCCATATACGCAGGCTGGCACTCGTGTCTCACTGGGCCATGGCTCTGGCGGACCTTCTCTCACTTCGGGCCAAAGCCAGGCCACTGGTACTTTTCAGTTGTCATTTACATAACAATGGCTAACTGTGAAGTTCCTTCTCACAAAGCAAATGTTTTGATTATGTTTAGTCCTCACTGTCAGCCCTAGCTATGCAAACACAATTTCCCTAGTATAACATAAGGGTGCATACCAGCAAAGCCCCTCCCCAACACTAAACAGGCGGAGCCTCGTCTGGAAGCAAAACAGTTAATTCTGCCTAATTTATTGACTTTTTAAAACCATAGTTGATATGGATGACTTGCTTAAACAAATATGGTTTCTACTGGTTTTGACTTCTGAACCATACACAAGCTGTCACGAATGCCGCCGAGGCTGCCTCCCCTCCTTGTTCGGGCAGGTTTCGGCGTTCGTCGTCACCGGCTTACTAGCCACTGCCGCTCCATATATCATCATTCCATTTGTTTTGTCTTGTCAATTACACACACCTGGTTCATATCCCCTCATTAGTCCGTGTATAAGTGTTCCCTCTGCCCCCTTGTCCTTGTGGGTGATTGTTTTATGTGAAGATGAGTGTAGCTCGGTTGAGCTACCCATACGTTGTATTGCCGTGGGTGATTTCTCCCCGTGTGCCTGTATTGTGTTCTAGTGCGCCTGTATTACGCCCTGTGCTGTTGACGCTATCCAGCGTAACTGTGTACTACGGAATAAACTCTGTATTCGGTGATTTACCCTCCTGCGCCTGACTCCTTCAAATCACACTCTCACACAAGAATTATTACATTTATGTTCAGTAAATTAATAATGTTTGTTCTTATATCATTAACACTTAGCTCCAAGTATAAGAAAGTGCAAGCAAACGAGCTGCGACAAGGTAGGCTTATTCGTTCAGCACTTTTAAAATGGACACCGACAGAAATTCAGATAGATTCAGAGAGAGAGAGAGAGAGACGCGGTTAGTCTACCATTTGAAGTATTTTATTAGGCCTATGTGGTCTAAAAATGAAGGAAAATACAATCACGAGGATCCACTTTTATAGACAATACACAGACGCACGGACAGCGCATTGTGCAAACACAACTCTCGCAATATCAACTGGACTTACATGGGTCTATTACTGAACTTTTTGTTGAAAACAAATATTTGAATGGTAAGAGACTTTCACTGGCAAACATGGTTACAGACCCAACAACATTATATAGTATCCCCTCCTTGTGAAGAAAAGCACATGAGCTAATTTATGCAGCAGCATACAATACCTTTTTGGACTCACCGTTGTTGTGCTCACTTGAACAGGAAGGTGGCGCGGTGGTCCTTCTTGTGGGCAAATTTTGTCATCAATGGTGCTTTCAAGACAACTGGGAACTTGCAAAAAAACAAGATCGAATCATGACGTCAGTGATCTTCAGGTCAGAGCTCTAGAAAGTGGCCTGAGTTCCCAGCTTGGAATTCCGAGTTGGATGACAGTTTAAAACTTATTTTCCCAGTCGGAGCTTGTTTTTTTCCGAGTTCCCAGTTGTCTTGAACTCACTGAACTCTGAGATTTCCCAGTTCCGAGTTTCCAGTTGTTTTGAACTCGGCAGAAGTCATGCTGGATTGACAGCATGGCCAATGTATTCAGCCTTTTCTGGCCCATAGTGTTACGAGTGAATGTTTATCCTTTTAAGCTTGGAAAATAGACTATTTCAGACAGATGTTTTAAATCCTTAAACCCAGACTTGGACCACACACCCTCTTCACTGAATAGCAGGCAGGGGAAGCAAAATAGTGATTTCTTTAAAACGCTTGCAGTTAGCCACTGATTCCTTCCAAAACCACTCATTGTTGAATTTGCGACTTCCGACTTGTTGTGTAATGTTTATGTCCAATGGCCGATGAGCACCGATACCTTTTATCTATAACTAATCTTCATATGACGAGGATTGAAAAGGATTTGCCAGTAGATTGTTGACGTGATTCAGGATGATGACCGCTTGTCTAGCTTGCTAGCTAAGATTTTGAAAGTAACATGATCAGTCCAATCAAAGCTACGGTAGATATAATGTGATTTGACGTCATTTTATCTGTGGCCAATGACCTTGAGCCTTCTTGGATGGACACTTCTAATGTAAATCTATGGTAGCACCCAAGAGGGCTTGAACTGCCTAGCTCTCCCTGTAGATTCTGCAGTGAAGTAGTGTCCCCATGAGTGACAGAACACTGAGCCAATCACGGCGCAACTAGAGAAGATTACCAACGCCTACGCTCTGTATATTCTGCTGGCTGCCCCTCCACCACAGAAAGCACTGAGCTAGGCTGAAACACCTGCATTTTGGAGCTGCCTTACTCAAGAAAGAGACCATGTTTGTATGCAGCTTTATTAACTCAATCTTCTTCTTTTTCAATTTTTTTTTTATTGTTTGCAAACTGATATGTGACATG